ACTCACTGGACAAGGAACTAAAAAACTGTCTGTCACTTTAAAAACAACTACAAAGAAATAAATCATTAACTCATACCAAAACATAACAAACGAATAACTCACGTGACGCAAATGTAACTCATAGCAGGATTACATATCTAACCTTGACTAATCACACAATACTTTACATTATTGAAGTTACAACTCTAGATTCATTGTATTGTTGATTATAAATATAATGTATATAATGCTGTGTATAATTATGCCTAGCCTTGATTTTTAGCTTTTTTTTCCGATTCAATTCAAGTTTATTTATAAAGCACCAAATCACGACAAGAGTCATCTCAAGGATCTTCACACAGTAAACATTCCCATACAGGTCAGGTCATTAAGCTAATCAGTAAAAAGTTTCTATATAAGGAACCCAGCAGGTTGCATCGAGTCACTGACTAGTGTCAGTGACTTTACAGCAATCCTCATACTAAGCAAGCATGCAGAGACAGTGGAGAGGAAAACTCACTTTTAACAGGAAGAAACCTCCAGATGACCAAGCAGCCATCCACCATGACTCACTGGGGATGGAGAAGACAGAGCAGACACACACACAACGGGTAAACTAGTTAAGTGGTTAGCAGCAGTCTTAGGTGTGTTCTTGCTGTGTCTTTGTAAATCCATGCTTTCGTTCTTTTTTAAACACAGAAACAGTTTTGTTTACCTGTTTGTAGCTACGGTTTCGCCGACAGCTGCCGTCAGCAGGCGTCAGCCTGAAGAAGCCGGCAGCTGTCGGCGAAACCGTAGCTACAAACAGGTAAACAAAACTGTTTCTGTGTTTAAAAAAGAACGAAAGCATGGGTTAGCAGCAGTGTGCTAGCCGATGGCCCCCTCCATGAGGCCACCACAGCTCAGCAGAACATCATTGTAGCTTCTTCTGGAGAGAAAAACACTTAGAGAAAAAATAAAGTTAACAGCTGAAATAGCAGGAAATAATACAGTTAAAGAGCAGACTGTAGAAGAAAGTGGTCGAGTGTGGAAAGTGGTCAGCGTGTCCTCCAGCAGCTTTTTCATTCCATTTATATTTTAATTCATTGTATTGGTCTAAATGTTTTATTTTTATGCCTTAGCTTAATTCAACATTTTATTTCATTTTTAGATTTTATTCTTATTTTCTCTCATTTTTTATTCCTTTGCATTTTATTTCATTTTTATCCTGCGTAATTGTTTCTATGTAACATGAGGACACTTGGGATGGACAAAGTAACCATCGACTTCAATCCATTCCAATTTCGATTGTTCCATTTCATAACCTATAATTGTACAATGATACTACTATTATGATAATATAAAATCAAAATAAATTCATTCATTTATTTATTCATCTTCAAGCAATAAGAGTCTGGTGTGTGTGTGTGTGTGTGTGTGTGTGTGTGTGTGTGTGTGTGTGTGTGTGTGTGTGTGTGTGTGTGTGTGTGTGAGACTGTAGTGTGAAGCGCTATGAGTGTCATTTATCATCTATAACAGGAACAACAGACTTGCTTTAATGTGACGCTTTATTTAAAGAAAATACAGAACAGGGCTTCTGATCGATATCTTCTCCATCATCATCATTACCATCATCCATCCCCCATCATGTCCCCCGTAGACCACAGGAACAGACTTTGTCCGTTTTAGTTCCTGTTTACCCATATAAGGTCTGATTGATCAGGCTGCTCCTGAAGTTAGATTTTATGTTTTAATGCATTCAGTTTCTCTTGTTATCCATCTTCAGCATCCTGCAGACCAGATGGCTGTGTCTGTAGTGACCTCCTCATGCTGAGCCACATGATATTTGTCCTCTGCAGGCTCCTGTAGTTACAGTGAGGGTGACCGAAGCAGCTGGGCCATGGAGGATTCACTCTCATCTAAGATTAATCTGCAGTGGAGCTGCTGGAGGATATAAATATCTGAAGTTGACGTAGCTCCTCCAGCAGCAGATTCAACCTCCTGCCTTTAATGGGACCTATCAGAGCATTAGCAGGACTCAGATAGACCTCTCTATAATGCCGCCCCCCAGGGTCGAACTCTGGGAACCGGTGATGGTTGTCCCCTTTGTGCAGCAGTACCGGGACCAAAGTGAATAGGGTGTGTATGGGGAGCATGAGTGGGTGTCCGGCGTGTATTTTTGTAAGTCTTTGGTTGTATGTGTGTGTGTGAGCTTGAGGGAGGGAGTGTGTGACTGTGTTTGTGTATGACTGTATATGTCAGGTGGGGCCTTTGACTCCTCCTTTCTCCTGGGACTTCTTTTGATGATATAGATCTTTGTCCCCCCTCTCCCTGCCACACCTGGTGTGGAGTGCGGTGCCTTGGTCTCCCTGGGTTGTGGCTCCCGGGTTAGGGAGTTTAAGATTTTTGGCATCTGCCTGATCAATCCCAGTGGCTGCCTGGTGGGGTCTGGGTCCCTGGGCTCTGCTGGGTCCCCGGCGGGGGTGGTCGCCCCTGGGTGTGAACAAAGTAATTCAGATCTATCAGTCTGGTAAAGGTTATAAAGCCATTTCTAAAGCTTTGGGACTCCAGTGAACCACTGTGGGAGCCATTATCCACAGATGTCAACAACATGGAACAGTGGTGAACCTTCCCAGGAGTGGGCGGCTGACCAAAATTACCCCAAGAGTGCAGAGACAACTCATCCGAGAGGTCACAAAAGACCCCAGGACAACTTCTAAAGAACTGCAGGTCTCACTTGCCTCAATTAAGGTCAGTGTCCACGACTCCACCATAAGAAAGAGACTGGGCAAAAATGGCCTGCATGGCAGATTTCCAAGACACAAACCACTGTTAAGCAAAAAGAACATTAGGGCTCGTCTCGATTTTGCTAAGAAACATCTCAATGATTGCCAAGACTTTTGGGAAAATACCTTGTGGACTGTTGAGACAAAAGTTGAACTTTTTGGAAGGCAAATGTCCCGTTACATCTGGCGTAGAAGTAACACAGCATTTCAGACAAAGAACATCATACCAACAGTAAAATATGGTGGTGGTAGTGTGATGGTCTGGGGTTGTTTTGCTGCTTCAGGAACTGGAAGGCTTGCTGTGATAAATGGAACCATGAATTCTACTGTCTACCAAAACATCCTGAAGGAGAATGTCCGGCCATCTGTTCGTCAATTAAAGCTGAAGCGATCTTGGGTGCTGCAGCAGGACAATGACTCAAAACACACCAGCAAATCCACCTCTGAATGGCTGAAGAACAACAAAATGAAGACTTTGGAGTGGCCTAGTCAAAGTCCTGACCTGAATCCTTTTGAGATGCAATGGCATGACCTTAAAAAGGCGGTTCATGCTAGAAAACCCTCAAATTAAGCTGAATTACAACAATTCTGCAAAGATGAGCGGGCCAAAATTCCTCCAGAGCTCTGTAAAAGACTCGTAGCAAGTTATCGCAAACGCTTGATTGCAGTTATTGCTGCTAAGTGAGGCCCAACCAGTTACTAGGTTCAGGAGGTAATTACTTTTTCACACAGGGCAATGTTGGTTTGGATTTTGTTCTCTCCCTAAATAATAAAAACCATCATTTCAAAACTGCATTTTGTGTTTACCTGTGTTTTCTTTGACTAATGGTTAAATGCGTTTGGTGATCAGAAACATTTTGTGTGACAAACATGCAAAAGAATAAGAAATCAGGAAGGGGGCAAATAGGTTTTCACACCACTGTACACTCCAAATACTCTAAAAATACACACAGAATACACTCTATAGACACACACAGAATACACTCTAAATTCTCTAAAGATACACACAGAATACACCCCAAATACTCTATAGATACACACAGAATACACTCTAAATACTCTAAAGATACACACAGATCCCCTTCCACTTTGGTTCTTTAATTTTAAATCCATGGTCTGTTTTTATGGTTCCAGTTGTTTGGTTGACTGTATTTTGTATAATTCCATGCTTTCGTTCTTTTTAAACACAGAAACAGTTTTGTTTACCTGTTTTGTAGCTACAGTTTTGCCGATGGCTGCCGGCGTCGGCCTGAAGAAGCCGGCAGCCGTCGGCGAAACTGTAGCTACAAAACAGGTAAACAAAACTGTTTCTGTGTTTAAAAAGAACGAAAGCATGGAATTAGAACCACGACACAGCAAGAACACACCTAAGATGTATTTTGTATACTTTTTATATATATTTTTGTATGACGTGACTATTTGATGCTTGTGTTTTTTTACTATGTGCAGGGCTTTGGTTGGCTATAATGCCATGTTAAAAGCACTTCATAAATAAAAGTGGTGTGGTATTTTCCTGACTCACCTTAACCCTAGCCACACACAGACCAGTGTGGTCCGTGGTCCTGAAGGATGTGATAAAGCCCAGCCCAGCCTGCTTTTACATAGATTATAAATCTGAGTGATGGGTCCAGTCCAGACAGGATTTTGGTAAAACTTCATAAATTAGTGATGCATCGATATATTCGATATTAAGACCTCTGGGTATTGGGCCGATACCGATATCCAATCTTAAGATCACTGTTATGGCCGATAACCGATATGCTGACATTAAGTCTTCTAAAATCAGCTGATTTTGTTTAGAATTAAATTATTAAAGCTGAATTTACGTTATGTATACACACACACACACACACACACACACACACACACACACACACACACACACACACACACACACACACACACACACACACACACACACACACATTTATGGTTCTGAGATGACTACAATCACTGTGACATGACTAAACAATTACACATCACCCCCACCCCACCCTCTGAAACCGGCAAACAAATGGAGACAAGATGGAAAACATATCGGTTGTTAATAATGGCCCGGTTTTATTTATCGGACCGATACCGATAAGTTAAAAAATGACTAACAGTGGCCGATACCGATATTGATGCGGATATATTGTCCATCCCTATCATAAATTATATTTAAATTGACATCAGAGGTCCAGTCAGGTTTTATGGGTTCGGATGGGTTCTGCTGGGCTCACTTGGCTCTAACGTTAACCTCTGCCCCCCACACAGCTGGCAGGTGAGCAGCAGGAAAGCCGCCCCCTGCTGAGCCCCTCCGTCGATGACTTCCTGTCGGAGAGCCGCACTGACTCTGCATCCAGCCGACTTGAGACCTCAAACACAGCAAGTATGCTGACCCAAGCTCTGTTCTGGACCTGATCCAGTGTTTGGATCTGGGCTGTTTTTGACTACCATGAGGTTTGGGGGGTTATGTTAAGAGTCAGAGAGGACGTTAGTTCTTGGACCCTGAGTAAATTCCCTCAGAGGCAAAGAGGTTCTTATCCAGTTGGAATCTGCGGGCCAGAACTGTTGCTACTGTAACGTGATGAAGGAGCCATTTCTACCCTAACAGCTGTTTCCTTTTGACACAGTGTCAGTGTGTCTGAAACAGCCTGAAGGTCATACAGTCATTTCTAAACTGTTTACATTCCAGCATGAAGACAGAAGAAAGAAGAATGAACTCTTTTCTTTTGATTAATCAAATAACAATTTTAATAAAGGTAATCCATCAAAGTGTTAGTCAATATAATAAGATGTGACCGACCTGTGAAATTAAAATATTAATTATTTTATTATGATCTTTGAAATGAAGTAATGTAACTTTAAATGTTCCAACAGGACTCATTTCACATGGTGTTAAAAGGACATGACACTTTTTTTTCACTGATCCAATCAGAATCTTACAGATCTGACGGAGGCGTGCTTCTGACGGTGTTTGGTAATTTTCATTCGACAATAAACCATAACATCCGAGGTATAAAATAGATGCCACGTCAGCTCTAATGCAGTTCAAAGCGTTCCAGAGCAAAGTGACAGAGTGGCCAATCCTCAACTTTAACTCTTCAACCGAAAGAACCATGACAAGCTGAGAAAATCCAGTCGCTATAACAACCAGCAACGACAACAGTTCCTTTCAGAATAAAAGCTCCACTGACCCAGTTTGGGTCTGAACAGACGCCAAGAAAAGAGTCGTGTGCCGGCAGTATCTTGAGACGGGTCTGGTCGGAACCGCAGCTCTGCTACCAGCTCGGTGTCCAGAGAGGGTCCGGGTGGACCTCGGCATTCCTGATCTCACAGAGGACTCCCACCAGGCAGGTAGGCGCGGCTTAATGGTGTCTCGTGCAGTTCTGAAACGAACCCAAGCTTATTCCAAACCAACATCTTCAGTTCCCGTCAGAACTAATTGCTTCTTCGGATTTGCGGGTTCTGATTTACATGACACGCCATCCATTCACCGCCTCATCCATTTTTAGTCGCACTATACACTTAGTTCTTAAATAAGCCTAGTTTAATTGTTAGTAATACAATTTCTTAACTTTTAAACTTGACTCGTTCTATTCTGTTGTCTCTGAGTGAATACATAACGGTTACATGATCTCTGCATTAAAAAGACCCAATCTTCTGGTTTAACCAACCCCGATCCGTGAGGCGGATTTCATATTCCCTATGGAATCCCACGCCTTACGGCTCATTAATTAAAATGTAAGAACCTCTCATTTTTCCCTTACACTACCTAATCAGGTGATATATCTGATTCTTTTGCAGTTCTGTCCACCACTCTGGACCTGTTGGACCTCGGTGAGAGCAGCAGCACCAACAAGACCTTCAGGAGGCGGAGCCCTCTAAAGAGGCTGGGGAGCTGCAAGAGTCCTGGCCACAGAAACAGAACCGAGGAGACAGAGCTGACCCAGGTGGAGGGACCAGCTCTTCCCAGAACCCCTGAAAGGATCTCTTTGAACTCAGGTAACTCAGGTTTCTGTATGTGAGTTAAAACCATAGCCAAGTCCTGATTCAGCCCATTTTCACATGAAAACGCATCGCTCTGCAGAACCAGAGCTTCTATCTGAAGCATTACGGTGCTTTCGCTGAACTTAAAGGGGCATTATGGAAGTTTGAAAGCCAAAACATGTAAAGCATTAATAAATTTCTTCTTCATACATTCTCCTGCAATGCCCTCGTCCTGTAGAATGAGCCCTGGCATTTTTACTGTGATTGCCGTTTTTCTGTAAAATCACAGAAAAAGAGAGTTGCTCTGGTCGAGCAGGCTGCTTCTTGTGCGTTCACGCTCAAGCATAGCCCGTAGCATTTGCTATCCGTAGCTTTAACAGCAGAGAGTGAGGTAGTGCCAACTCAGCGACTTTGTCGCTGTTCCTAACGCCTAGTGATGAACCTAGCTACATTTCTGAGAACCCTTAGCTACTTTCTTCTAGATATTTCCTGCAAATTAGCAACAAAATAGCCATTCTATCCTTCTTATTGCCAAACACAATAACTTCAGTCTTGTCTTTGTTTAGCTGAAGAAAGTTTGACTGCATCCAGTCGTTTACTTGTTCTGGGCACTGACAGAGTGAGTCCAGTGAACGACAGTCAGTAGGTGATAGGGCTAGGTAGATCTGGGTGTCATCAGCATAGCTATGATAGGAGATGTTGTTATTAAGTATGACCTGACCCAGGGGCAGCATATAGAGATTAAAGAGTACTGGTCCTAGACTTGAGCCTTGGGGGACCCCACATGTCATGGTGATCTGCTTTGATTGGTAGTCCCTAATAGAGACAACATTGCCCCTGTCTTTGAGATAGGACTGGAACCAGCCAAGCACTGGGCCTGATAGTCCCACCCACTTTGTGAGTCTGTCCAGAATGACGTTGTGGTCCAAAGTATCAAAAGCGGCACTGAGGTCAGGCATCATCAGGACAGATGCTTTACCTGAATCAGTGTTGAGACGAAGGTCGTTTATTACCTTGATCAGTGCAGTCTCTGTGCTGTGGTGCTGTCTACAGCCTGACTGAAGACCGTCCATAATGTTATTTGACTCTAAATAGTTGTTTATTGGGATCATTACCTTCTTTCAATGATGTTTCCATCAGAGGGAGATTAGAGATCGGTCAGTAGTTGTTCAACACTGAGGATCTAGTTTCCTCTTCTGTAGAAAGTTTCACAGCAGCAGTTTTCAGTGGTTTAGGAAAAAGACCTGATGTTAAAGAGCAGATAACAGTGTCCAGTTCCTCAGCTTTTAGGCAACCAGAGACATTTTAAAGAAGTTTGTAGGCAGGCTGTCCAGACAGCAGGTAGAGGAATTTAGGGTCTTTACTACGTCATTCAGTGTTTTAGTACTAATCAGGGTGATAGTTGGCGTTCTGGCCAGGTTGTTTCTGTGTGGCTGTGTCAGTGGTGGGGTTGTGTTAGTTGATGTAGAGGAATGAATGGCGGATCTAATGTTTGTGATTATTTCATTGAAGAAAGATGCAAACTCATCACATCTGGTCTGAGATATGAAGTCCGGGGCTCACTTTGCTGGGAGGTTAGTTAGCCTCTCGACTGTAGCAAACAGAACATGGAAACTGTTAATATTATCACTGATGACTTGTGAGAAAAAGGCTTTTCTCGCCCTTTTGTATCTCCATGTTATAAGTACGCAGCTGCATGATGAAGGCCCGATAGAGATCTGGTAGATTACTTTTCCTGAATCGGCGCTCTGCTTTTCTACATTCTCGCTTTGATTAGTAACAGATCTAGAGAACCTCCATGGAGCTTTCTGTTTGCCTGAAAGGAGTTTGACCTTTTCAGGTGTGATGGCATCAAGGACTTCCAAGTGTTTAGGAGTTGAAGCTGGCTAAGAGTGAATCAACACAACTGGATCTTCAGGGTATCCGCGGGGTCTTAAAAGTCTTGAATTTAATTTTGAGATTCCTGCATATATATATATATATATATATATATATATATATATATATATATATATGTATATATATATATATATATATATATACCCTGTGGATGTTGGACGTGTTGATACGTTCATCTGTCCGGTAAACGCTGAAGCAGTGTGGTCACCTATGACCTTTTTTGAGGACAACTGTAGATTGAAGAGTAGCAGGTGAGACTGATATCTCAGAGAAAACACAGAAATGATCAGATAGGCCCACATCTGTAACTACAACGTCTGACACATCATCGTCTCTAGTTAGGATTAGGTCCAGAGTGTGGCCCTGCTCGTGTGTTTTAGCATGGACGTTTTGTTTAAGGTCAAACAACTGTTACGCCCCCTCTGAAGGTCTAGGAGGATGAGGGGACTAACACAAGAAAATAGGTGTAGGTGTGTGTGAGTGGATAAAGGACGAGGAGGTTAGAGTAAAAACAAAAGGATTTATTAACAAAAGGTGTCCGCTGCTGAACGGCAAAACAAGGCTTACTAACAATAATGGAAACTAAAAACATAAACAGACTAACTGCTTATGAAAAGGCTATCTGCCAAACTCAAAAAGCAACCTCCTAAACGATAAATATCCCCGGCTCAAAAGTCCTGTGGGGATAAAGGAAAACCACCGAGATCAGAAGACTGTCATTCGGTCAGCTAAATCCTACAAAGAGGATAATTAAGTCAAAATCATGACGGAAGGTTTTACCCTTAGCAAGGCGTGTGAAACATGCTCAGAAAGAACCCAGGCTAATCCTGGATCTTTAGTAAAAACTTTAAACCCCAAAACAGTAACGGTGTAAATAACCTTAAACCCGATTGGTAAATGTCCGTGAGCTAGAGAGAATCTCCGGCTAAGCCAGGATCTCCTCAACTGTCTGCTGCGTTCCTCCTTTTAAGTCCTGGGAGCTGCTTGATGGCTGATTCAGATCAGCTGCTGTCTTTGCTGCCATGCCTCTCTCCGAGGTCCTGAAAGGGCGCTGGAGAGTGTGAGCAGGCTGCTCCTGGCGCTGTCCCTGGTGCTGGATCCTTTGCAGCGGGGACAAAAGGCTCAGGCTGGGATGAGAGGACGGACCGAGGGGGCGAGGGTCGTGACAACAACTCAAGAATATCAAGGACTTGTTCTGCAGATCTGCTGGTAGCATTATAAACATAAATATTAAAGTCACCACTTATGATAAGGTATGTGTAATCTACAATGATGATAGAAAGGAGGTCAGTAAAATGGCCGATGAAAGTTCTAAAAGACCCTGTTGGTCTATAGATAAGTGTTAATATCTTAGGTGTAGCTTTAACTTCGAAGCAAAGATATTCAAAGGAGTCACAGTAACTGCACACTAACTGTTTACAAATAAATCTGTCTCTGAAGAGAGAAGCAACACCTCCTCCCCTCCAATCAGGACGAAGCACATTCAGTCATGTGAAATTAGGGGAACTGGTGCACAGGTGCTACTGGTGCACCAGTGGTGCACTTGGGGATTAGGTGGATAAGGACTCCCGGTGAGCAGAGGGGGGAGGAGGAAGGGAGTTGAGGTGTGAGGCTGTTCGTAATCTTCAAGTTTGGGAACTTGCTGGTGAGACATGGTGGTTCGTTAGAGTAGGAAGATGGTGCTGACTGCTGAATGCATTTCTCATGCCTTTCCTTGTTGGAGAAGTAGAACACGAAGCATGTGAGCTAGGGATGCAACGATACCACTTTTTTCCAAACCGACACGATACAGATACTTGGATCTGAGTACTCGTCGATACCGATTACCAATACCGATACCTCTACCACACAAAAAAAGGCAATGATTTGGAATACAGATTTTATTTTCTTCTCTGCTTTCAACAGGAAAAGACTGTGAGGTAGATAAAAAGTAACATATATGAATGGAAATCATCACAAAACTAAAATATTAGGTGAACAGAAATGACAAGTTACAGTGAAGCCATTTTCAAGCAACTGCATTAGTATTGGTTCCTGGTATCAGTTAACTTTTACCGATACCGATACTGGTATTGGCATCGTATCGGTGCCGATACAGATACCAGTATCTGTATTGGTGCATCCCTAATGTGAGCTAGGTTTGAGGTGAAACGTTTAACTCCAGATTTATTCAAACGAATTCCATCGGGCAGAAAAAAGTGTGTGTGATCCCAGAAGAAGTTGAACTGGTGAAAATATGGGATGCTTTCTTTATCACTAGTGGATGACAGCCATTCGTTGAAAGCGTAGATCCGTGAGAAAAGTTCAGCTCCTCTTCTGATAGGTGGATCTAGTCATGTGGTCACCAGCAGCTACACTTGGGCACTGCTGTCAGACCTCCCTGGACGGAGCTTCACAGAGCAGATGGACAATCACCCAAAGCATACTGCAAAAGCAACACAAGACTTTTTTAAGGCAAACGAGTGGAAAGCTGTGCAACGGCCAAGTCACCTGACCTGAATCTGACTGAGCATGCACTTCACTTGCTGAAGACAAAACTGAAGGGAAAACACCTCAAGAACAAGCAGGAACTGAAGACAGGTGCGGTAGAAGCCTGGCAGAGCATCACCGGGGATGCAGCCCAGCGTCTGGTGATGTCTGCGCGTTCCTGACTTCCACCAAGTATTAAAACATTTACGGTTATTATTCTGTCCCATCACTGTTGGTCCTGTAACAGGTGGGAGGCACGGATGCAAACTGCTGTAATTCCTGCACCATTCACCTGATCTGGATGATAAACCCTCAGATTAAAGCTGTTAGGTTTCAGTTCTAATCCACAAATGTCGGTGGATGTCCCAGCATTCATGGACCCGACTGCGTACCTTTTAGTTTCTATGACTGCTTCGTAGAAACGTGTTGTAGAAACTCACGATTATGTATCTTTAAGTACGTGTGTGAGTCAGGGAAAGCAGATGAGATGTCGTTCAGGGACCCGCGAGGGGAACCTCTGAAAAACGTGTTCCTGAGCTCCAGCTCGTCTTTCAGCTGCAGAAGAGCGGACAGGAAACCAGAGCCGACTGAACAGGAAACCGGAGCCGACTGAACAGGAAACCGGAGCCGACAGGACAGGAAACGGTGTCGCTTCTCTTTGCTGAGTAATTTCTAAGTTCTTTGCTTCTATGATGACCTTGTGAGAGCAGACAAAAACCCAACATCAGCTGTTTCACTACTTTTACACCGTTGCTGTGTTTTAGAGTCCTACTCAGGTTGTCATGGCAACAGAGCTCAGGTCAGCTGGTGGGCCTCGTTTAGCTAAAAGCTCCAAAGTCATCGAGTCATAAAACTAACGCTCTAATCTCAGCTTTTACTTTAATGAGAGCTTCCTGTTTTAGGTGCTTACACACACACACACACACACACACACACACACACACACACACAGAGCTTGACAGAAATCCTCCGGCTTGTGTTGTTTTGCTTTCAGTCCGTCTGTCGTCTCCTCTGGACAAGTGGGACGAGGTCCACCAGGAGGTCTCAGAGGACAGAAGGTTCAGGAGGAGATGTGGGACAGGATGCACCTCCCACCACTCGTCAAGTGAACTGCTGTGGTAAACACACTCGTACCCTGGCAGTAAAACATCTGGACGAGGCTAGCCTTTGTTGTTTTGGTTTCAAGGAATAAAATGAGCAGCCAGGCGTTGAACCCACTAGCTGTCACAAGCAGAGGGGCCTGTAGGGGGTGCTAACTGGCTGTCTGCCCCTCCTCAGGTCTGCAGAGTTTAGAACCGTTCCTCTGAAGAAGAACACCTTTGATGTCCACAGCTTGGACGACCTGGACTTCATGTCTTCTACACAGGTCAGCCTCTTTCTGTGGTAAGACTAGAAAACCAGGTCAGACTAATAAACCCTGAAATCCTGTGTGTAGTTCAGGGACCTTGGGACATAGCAGCGCTCCCTGCTGACTCTGAGCTGCTGACAGAAGCAGCTGATGTAGTCTTATCTGCTGTTTGACCGTGTGTGTGTGTGTGTGTGTGTGTGTGTGTGCGTGTGCGTGTGTGCGTGTGCGTGTGTGTGTGTGTGCGTGTGCGTGCGTGCTTGCAGGACTGCAGTGTGTCGAGACATCGAAGACGGACCCGATCTCTGCTGGTCAGAAACGAGTCTTTGGAGGACGAGTTCGTCCGAGCCAAGGCTGCGGTTGAGGTAAACTCACGTGTCTCGTCTCATCTTCCTTTTAAAGGCAACGCTGGCATTGGAGTTTGGTGCTCACCCTGTATCTGGAGGGTTGCAGGTTTGAGCCCCGTCCACCACAGCTGTTGTGTCCTTTGGAAGACGCTTCACCCTCCTTGGCTGCTGGTGATGGTCAGAGGGACCGGTGGTGCCTGTGTTTGGCAGCATCGTCTCTGTCCCCCAGAGCAGCTGTGGCTATGATGTAGCTCATCTCTGTGTGTGTGTGTGTGTGTGTGTGTGTGTGTGTGTGTGTGTGTGTGTGTGTGTGTGTGTGTGTGTGTGTGTGTGTGTGTATGTGTGTGTGTGTGTGTGTGTGTGTGTGTGTGTGTGTGTGCTGCAGTCAGACACGGAGTTCTGGGATAAGATGCAGTCAGAGTGGGAGGAGCTTGCTCGGAGGAACTGGCTGGAGGAGTCAGATAGTCAGAGGCCAGCCCTGCCCGCTTTCTCACCTGTAGAGCAGGTAAGTCTGATGTTGTCTAACTGAACCTCTAAAACAGCAGGTGTGTCAGACGTCCACTCCTTCAGGAACTAGACCGGGCCGGTTTTCCCAGCATGCATCACTGTGGAATGACAGATTATCAGCCTGTAGGCGTTAATCTGCAGCATTAATCCTCTGGTCTGAGATCAGCTTCCCAGAAGGCCGAGCAGCGGTAATCCTGCTCTAATCCCATCCTTTCTCAGGTGTTACATCACCATGGTGATAGAGAAGCTGCACTGATGTCAAACATCTGTTCATACGTGTAAGCAGACCTCAGATCAGCTGTTTTAAATTAAAGCTCACTGCTGCTGTTTCACAATCTAAAGGTATTTTTTTTATTACTTATTTTTTATTCACGTTTTCTATCAGCATTTACAGTGTAAGGATACTTCATTCATACATTATTACACATTTGTTCTCATATCAATCCCCTTGTTCTTCAGCATCTGTGGTGGCGTCTTCTCCTTTTCGGCTTTGGTAGTCAGACCACTCGTCCCATTTTGCCTCAAACTGTGACTCTTGTAATCTCAGTTTATGTCTGACTTTCTCTATTACAAAAATCTCGTGTACCGTGCATATCCATTGTTCCACAGTCGGAGGGTCTACTTTGTACCACATTCTGGTAATTGTTTTTTTAATGGCTGACAGTAATACTTTAACTTGATATTCATCTTCTTTTTGTATTATATCTCGTATTAAATTTCTCAAGTACAGTATCTTACATGTTTTTGGTATCCCATATCCTATTATTTTTTGTATGTTCCTCCATAACCTGTCCCAGTACCCCTCCAACTTGTGGCAGGACCAAAATATATGCGTATTGTCCGCATTCACGTGCCCACGGGCTCTCCAACATGGCTGCTGTGCGGACATCACCCCTTTCATGATCTTTGGGGTTCTAAAGAATCTGACCAAGTTTTTCCAGTTGGATTCTCTCCAGCTCCTGGAGCTAGTGGAGGTGTGCTGCGTTTTACAGATATTGAGCCACTCCTCCTCTGTTATTTGTTCTTTTAATTCCTGTCCCCCCTCCTTTTTTTATATAGAGGGAAGAGGACTTTCTACATGTCATCAAACTTTTATACAGGATTGAAATTACTCTACATTTTTTCCCCTCATATGCTCTCTGGAATGACCCCACAATCGCATAATTAGTCCCAGTTTTTATCTTTTTCACATAGTAATCCTTTATTTGTAAGTAACGATATTGTTCGTTGTTGTCCAGTCCAAATCTGTTACTTAACTTTTCAAAACTCTGCAGCTTACCTCGTTCAACCATTGTGCATATTGCTGTAATCTTTTTTTTTTTTTGGACCACTGTATGAACCCGCTATCATTCATCCCAGGCTTAAATCTGTCATCAAATGCAAACCAACTCAATTTCCTTGTCTCTTTCTCTAGTTTATATCCACCACAACCGTGTTCCACATCTCAATTGTATTTTTGGTTATGACATTCAGTTGATTCCCTATCTTTCCCCGTAGATCTTTGTATGCTATCAAGTTTCGTACTTCGGTGTTCTTCTGTTCCATTTCTATACTCTTCCATTTGAGGTTGATTCATCATTACATCAATGTATCAAGGGTCTAATTTGAGCAGCATAGTAATATTCTTCGAGGCTTGGCAGAGCCAGTCCTCCCTTGTCTTTTGGAAGCTGCAGAGTTTTGTACCTAATCCTAGGTTTTTTTCCTCCCCATATGAACCTCGATATCCGTCTGTTCCATTCAGTAAACTGCTGTGGTGGGATTTTCACTGGCAGAGCCTAAAACAGGTATAAAAGTCTCGGTAGTATATTTATCTTCATTATTTCTATCCTTGAGCTGAAGTCCAAAAAGATGTCAGACCATTTCTCCAAATCTTAACGGATTTCTTGACATATGGGCCATTCCCATCTGTACCGGGTCGGCCCGGGCCGGGTAGCCCCAGTCGGCCCCAGCCTGGCCCGGTTGATTCCACACATCCTTGTCTTAAGCCCATGTGGGCTGATTCTACCCACCAATCAGAGGCTTGCTCTAGTGGAAGGTGTGAATTTGCTGTCAGCAGTGGGCGTGTTGGCCCTGGTCGGCCTGAAGCAGTACCCCTCGGGAAGAGGGCCGAGAATGAGCCTTGGTTGGCCCGGGAAAATTCCAGGCCACCCAGATATGTGAACAACCTACGCTACCCGGCCCGGGCCGACCCGGTACAGGTGGGAATGGGGCTTTATTTTAGTACAGTTTGCATCATATGGTTTGTCTATTCTTTTTGTAACATTTACTCCCAAGTACCTTATCGATTTGGCCTTCCAATTAAGTTTAAATGTCTCCATCACTTGAGGCGGGGAGTAATTTATCTGCGTTTTTTGTTATTTTGTAGCCTGAATATTTTCCGTAAGTTTCCAGTAGCCTAATGAGTTTTGTGGGCTGTTTTTAAAAAGTATTATGTCATCTGCGAATAGTCCTATCTTATGTTCCCTCCTTCCTATTTCTACCCCTTTAATTTCTTCCTCTTGTCTAATCATTTGGGCTAGTGGTTCAATAAATAATGCGAACAAACTCGGGGAGAGACTACACCCCTGTCGTACCCCCCTTTTTAGTGTAAAGCTTTTTGTCAAACTACCATCCTTGCCTTAAGTTCTTGGTACAACGACCTGAAACAATTCACCAATTTCTCATTAGATCCAAACTTTTCCAGAACCTTGTAGAGAAATACCCAATTCACACTATCAAAAGCCTTTCGGCATCGATGCTTACTAGAATCGCGCTGTCCCCCTTGTTTTTGATATTTTCTATAACGTGTAAACTTCTTATGTTATCTTGTGTTTGTCTATCTTTAATAAAGCCGGTTTGGTCTTCCTCTATCAAATCTTGAATAAGTGTTTCTATTCTTTTGGCTATAATTGAAGTATACAGTTTATAATCCACATTTAGCAGTGAGATGGGTCTGTAATTACTGTAGTATTCCTTGTCTTTGCCTTCCCTTGGAATAATCGAGACTATGGCTTCCTTCCAAGAGGGTGGGATTTAGCCTGATTTTAGACTATAATTGAGTGTGTTCTGGAGTATTGGGGTTAACTCTTCCTCGAATGTTTTGTAGAAGGAGGCTCCCAATCCATCAGCTCCTGGTGACTTTCCTGATTTTGTCTGCCCAATTGCTTCTGTAATCTCCTTCGTTGTAATCTCTGCGTTTAATGTTGCATTCTGTTTTGAGCCTATTGTTGGTAAATCTAAATTGTCGAAAATTCCCCTCAAATGTTCCTCACCTGCTGAATTTCGTTGTGAATATAAATGATTGAAGTATTTTTCGAACACTCTTTCCATTTCTTCTGGTTCATATAGGATTTTGTCAGTCGCAGGGTCTCTTATTTTATGTATATTAGTCATTCACAATCAAAAGGTTTTAATGTGAAATATGAGTTGGAAGTGACTCAGGGCAGGTCTTTGCCTCACCCACACCTGGTCTACACCTACCTGGTTCTGGTCTGGGCACCTGGGACCAGAACCCAGACTCCAACATGCTCTCAGCTGTTGGGCCCAGAGTGCATGATGGGACAACGCCCGTTAAACAGCAGTCATGTGACCTGCTTGTGTTTTAAATTCAACGTTAGGGATGTTGGGATCACGTTATTGGTTCCGAGACGTTGAATGTCAGCTGATACCAGGAGAACACATCCAAGTTGTTTCTTTATTTCAGTATTTATGGCTCCTTAATCTGCTCTTTTTACCAATTTCATTTTTATATTTTTGAATCATTTAAAAACATCTTTTAATTTGTAAAATGTTTTGTTCTTGTGAAGCGTCTGGTGATTTTTCTGTGGAGAGGCACTTTACAAAAGATCATTCATCTGCCAGAAGACACCGCCCACTCGCTGACGTCAGGCTCACTTTTCTCTGCACGACACCTGTAACTCAAACCACGGCTCCAGGCGACATTTAGCTCATTTTTAGCGTATCTTTCCGTGTCGGCTGGCAAACTGGCAGTATTGTTGTTTAACTAGCTGTGGCCCTGGCTCAGACCCGTAGTGACTATGGTTTTCCTCTGCCTTCACTGGCCGGTTTGAAATCTGACCAAACAGCAGACATTTTTTCTCTCCTGAGGCGAGAAACCAGCTCAGAGGCTTTGTGGGGTGGGTGTCCGCCCTGAGACTGGGAGATCGTGGGTTCAAAACCCAGTCGGGTCAGACTGCCTCCCTGTTTGACCCTCAGCATTAAGGGGTTGGATTGGGGGGCTGATGGTTCCTGAGCGCAGCTTTGTCTGCAGCTCACCGCTCCCCCATGGGATGGGTCACATGCAGATGTAGTTTCACCACACCGGTCTGTGAGAACTAGTTAGACTTTAACATGTTAGCTCTGCGTTAGCCTGCTAGCTAACAGCCAGGTGTCTGAATTCATGGCTGCCACATGATCAGATCAGAGTTGAAGCTTTTGTGATTTGGTCTTCAGGGTTTCTGCTTCAGCACCAACAACCCTTTCAGGGACCAGCCCAACGTCTTTGCCGAGGCTCAGGAGAAGGCTCGAGAGGGAGACCTGAATACCACCGTCCTGCTGCTGGAAGCTGCCATCCTGCAAGACCCGCAGGACGCTGAGGTGACCCCACCACCACGGTCCCGGTCCCCTTCTCTGGTCTAGCTGGACATCAGGGTTCCTGTAGGCCCAGAGGTGAAGCTGGAGGGAGCTGAAGGTCTTGGTTCTGTTGCAGTAAAACGTTACCTTGTGTGCGGTACGGCAAGCTGTTAAGGCATATAATGCACTTTTTCTAAATAGATAATGGCTGACCATTTGCGTTTTTATTGGTCAATCTTAGGGTCGTTTTTCCGTACTACTGTAGGACCACATCTCTACTGTAGGACCACACCTCTACAGCGGACCACAGCCGCCCTGCATGTTGAGCGTTGATCCAAAGCTCATGACCGTCGGTGAGCCCTGGCTTGGCTCCAGCTTCACCAACCAAACTGCCCGGTCTCCATATTCACTTAGAGTTTTGGTGATGTTTCTTAACCCAGCTGGGAGAATTCTTCTGCAGGACAATGTGACACCTACCTTAAACGTCACATGTCCTGATATGAAGCTCCTCCCCTTTCTCCATACCATGTTTATTACAGAGCACATTTGAAAACAGCTGACCAAAGGATCATGGATGCTCCATAGTTACAGGTTAAAGAAAAACAGCAAGGTATAATATCTAAACCGAGAGGAGGGGAAGCAGCACTGCACAAACGCCATTGATCAGATCAAAAGGGCCGTTGGTGGGGCATAACTGGCCGTGTCACAGCATCAGGAAGTGTTTCTAAGGAATCTTCTTGTGTGTTTAGGCATGGCAGCTGCTGGGAATGACTCATGCAGAGAACGAGAACGAGCCAGCTGCGATTGTGTCCCTGCAGAGGTCGTAGGTTTTCCTCATCAACATCAGATCGGTAAATGATTATTGTCCAAGGGGGAGGAAGGTAAACGTTAACTGCTCACCTTCTGCAGGTGTCTGGAGCTCCGCCCCCACAATCTGCCAGCCCTCATGGCACTCGCCATCAGCTTCACTAATGGCGGTGCACAGCAAGAGGCCTGTGGCGCTCTGCGACGCTGGATCAGCCACAACCCACGATACAAAGACCTGGTCCAGAGAGACTTGCTACGGGGTTCCCCACTGACCCCACGCAGGGGCCCCCACCGCTCCACCCTAACCAGGTAACAAAAGTTATCCTGGGCCTTAGCAACAGTTGCTATGGAGATATCTCCATTTAGATCCTGATGAGATGTTTAACGAGACTGGCTGGGCGACTGATCATAGAAGGTTTTCCTGCCTGCAGTCTCTGAACCCTCTGTTAACTTTAACCAGGTGACTTAATTTAACCAGGTGACTTAATTTCTTATGAATTGTTCAGGGAGAAATGGCAGAACTATGATGAGGCGATTACGAACGCTGGCGATATCTTTGCCGCCTCGGGTAATACAGTGCCTAGTCACAGCAAGTCATCTCCAGGCACTTCACTAAAGGTGAACCCTACTCAGACCAGCTGGGCCCGACCGCTGTTCCCAAGGGCACGGTTCAGTATTTTCAGTCCCTGCTCCATTGAGGTACCTGGCAAGGCTGAGTTGGGCCGCTGATTGGCTAGGGGGCGGAGTCACTGGTTGCTCCAGAGTTTGTGGTTTGACTGCCTGCAGCCATTTCCTGGTTCTTTGTCTGACAAAAGCCATAAAACTGAGCTAAATGTCAGCAACACCATGTTTCTGTGGAGAGTACAGGTTACCTTCCACTGTTGACTGATCACCTCATGCTGTTCTGTCATGAGTGAAAGTCGCAGCCCCCTACCCCCGAACACCATTGTAGCTTCTTCTGGGGAGAAAATCACTCAGAGAAAAAATATCAGGAAATAATGCAGTTTAGGAGCAGATTGTAGAAGAAAGTAGTCGAGTGTGGAGAGTGGTCAGTGTGTCCTCCAGCAGTCTAAGCCTATAGCAGCATAACTACAGAGATAACCGAGCTGGAGGCAGGGCAATGAACACTTAACTACATTCTGTGGACTTCCTGATAGTGGTGAATTACAGCAATCTAGTCTTGTATTAAATACATGAACTTGGGGCGACGGTGGCACAGGAGTACAGCTACCCTCGTAATTGGAAGGTTGCAGGTTAGAGTCTCGCTCAGCCTGTCGTGTCCCTGGGCAAGACACTTAACCCCCTCGCCTGCTGGTGGAGGTCGGAGGAACCGGTGGTGCCAGGGCTCGGCAACCTCGCTTCTGTCAGTGCGTCCCAGGGCAGCTGTAGCTACATCGTAGCTCATCACCACCAGCGTGTGAATGGGTGAATGACTGATTGTGTTGTAAAGCACCTTGGGGGGTTTCAGGACTCTAGAAGGCGCTATGTCAAATACAGACCATTTATCAACAATGCAAGAACTCAGTTAGACGGCTGTCATTCTGGCCATTAAGTGCAGGCTGACGATGACCTGCAGCAAAACAGTTCAAGTGTGTTATTAATGAGCTCTTTATGGATGTGTGAACCTAATAACGTGGTAAGCAAATATTCTAAAAACTGTTTCAACCACTATTTCACACAGCGTATGAACGGAGAGGGAGCGCGCGAGCTGGAAAGTTGGTCGCTTAGCAACGTCGACGCTGTCCGTTATCCGCGGGAAAACGTTACCATGTGAACAATAGTTGTCAAATTAACAGCATGTGGGAAACAAAGACAAAAACAGCTATATCTATTTTTTCATACATTATTTTATGGAAATTATAACAGAAAAAAGTTGGAGAAGGCAGGACAACTTGAGATCCATCCAAGTAAAGTTATTACATATTAAAATATGAAAAGAGTCTAAATGACTGAATTTACACTTTTGACTTCATGAAATTAGCTTTGTTCGTTTTGCTTCTGAGTTTGCATTTATTAGTGAATATTGAGCATGTTTTTGGAACTGTGTTGTTGTAGTGTTGTAGTGACCCCGCCCACTGTGGAGCAGGCAACGAGTGAGGTGCATTGTGGGTAGCTGGTTTTCAGTAGTTTTGTTCTATTTTGGTGTGTGTTCGGGTGTTTTGTCGGCATTCTATTACTAGGTTTGTTGTTAGTCTCTTGTTTAATGTTCTGATGCTGATATCTTTGGTTGGTGTTAATTTTGCGTGAGTAGCAGTTCCATTTCGAGGAATGGGACCGCGGTGCCGTTCAGTAAAGAAGTTCACTGTAATTGCTAGTTCCAGTGTCTTTGCTCTTGCTGGGTGGTAGCAGTTAGCACTTTGCTCCGCCCATTGCGTTGGCAGCCTCTAACATTAAAAAGTGGGCTTGTTACTCATATGCACTTTCCCACAAAAGGGCAAATGTTTTGGCAGGCAAGGTCTGACTGGCACATCTGTTAAAATGTGCTGTGCCATAAAACAATTCACCAGTCACCACTGCTTCTAATCTTGGCAATATCCTACAAACCTGTGTAACGTGGGATTTAAATGACATGTCCTGGTCACAGATAACACAGACGCTCCTTACTTTGTTCTTGGACGATAATTTATTTATTATGCACTTAACATACATGGAGTGACCAAAGGCCTGTGCATAAATAAAGCCAAATAATAAAACATATTTAGCACTAATAAAAACAGCTTGATGGTTTCTGCTCACGCAGTATTACAAGACCCGTCCATGGTCGAAGCCACCCTAACAATTACATGGTTCCACAGCTGGAAAAGCCCCCCCGCGTCAGCAGATCAGTCCTGGAAACATCTAAGTGCTGCTTGTCAAATTTAAACCCATTATCAAAGAGCACCCCAGATACATAACAGAACAGTTAAAGACCAATGGAAATGCTGCGTTCTGAGAGAAGGTCCTTCAGCTCAGGCTGAAAAGTCTAAAACATTTTGTTCCATCTAAGCTCTACTTTCAGCTGAACAGTTCACCAGGTTTTGCGCTGAGTGACTACTAGTTGACCCTGATGGGAGGGAAGTTTGCTGGGAATCATAAGCCGCTTACACATCGGGGCTGAATGGTGAAATTGGTCTGGAACAGGCAGTGTAGTGTTGAAGGGTATTAATTATGGGATGTAGAAGGTGAGTAGTTTAAGAATAATCACGGGGACAAAAACAAGATGGAGATTTGTAATGTTTTGGCATTTCGTATTCATACAGCACAGAGCTGCAGGACCTGCTGCAGCTCTTCCAAGAAGCGGCTCTGCTGAATGTGGACGGTGTGGACCCAGACCTGCAGACTGGACTGGGAGTCCTCTACAACCTGGTATCAGACTATGACAGAGCTGTGGAGGCTTTCAGCGCCGCACTGTCCGTCAGGCCGCAGGTACCATGTTAGTCTGAAAGGAGTCTGCTTAGGAGACATTTAGGTCAAACTTGTGGAATGATGTCATGATGACATCACTCATCTTTCCCTCCTCAGGATTACCTGCTGTGGAACCGTCTGGGGGCGACACTGGCTAACGGCAACCGCTGTGAGGAGGCAGTTGAGGCGTACACACAAGCACTGGAGCTGCAGCCTGGATTCATCCGGTCCAGATACAACCTGGGCATCAGCTGCATAAACCTGGGGGCCCTCAGGTAAACTCACCTGTTCAACTGGCTGTAACCAAGCCTTTTATACACTCTAATCTCCCTGTGGACCTGGTTCTGCTTCTGCAGAGAGGCCGTCAGTAACTTCCTCATGGCTCTTAACCAGCAGAGGCAGAGTCAGCCCTGCAGCCAGCACCAGATGTCTGACAACATCTGGGCCGCTCTGCGGATTGCCCTCTCCATGCTGGACCGAACTGAGCTGTTCCAGGCTGTCGGCACACGGGACCTGGACCAACTGATGGGGGCGTTTGAGGTGGATGATGTGTGAGCAATGTGTATGTTCTGGTTCTGCGGAAACCAAAGACACGAGGATGGTCCAAGGCAAAACCCTTTATCTACTCATAACTTAGTTTCAGACCTCCTATGCTTTTGAAGTCCAGAACTGTTCCCAGATCAGGTCTAAAAGCTTCAGTTACAGCTCTGTCCATCAGACTGTAGGTCTATTCCAGTAGTTTGTAGCTCCACCCATTACATTATAAGTCTTCATCAGATTACGGTACCGTTTTTTATGCTATCAGTACAGGACCTGCTAAGGATAACTGTCAACAGCGCAATCCTGGCCACAGTTAAACACTACATTCAATAAAAACAAAGGTTTTAAATAATACATTTATTATGAAGTTGAGTTAACAAACAATGAAACATGCCAGCACTGTCTCTTTTAGTGCTGAAATAACTCTTTGCTAATGTTACTAGCATTGTTTTCTCACTTCAGTTTATTTATAAAGCACCAAGTCAGGACCAGAGTCATCTCAAGGACCTTCACATAGTAAACTATCCAATACAGGTCAGGTCATTAAGCCAATCAGTAAAAAGTTTCCCATATAAGGAACCCAGCAGGTTGCATCGAGTCACTGACTAGTGTCAGAGTCTTTACAGCAATAGTGAATCTATAATTAAACGGGTAAACTAGTAGTAGCACATTCAATGTCAAAGAGAGTCAAATGTTATTATCAGGAGAAGGAGAATGTTTAAGTGGTTAGCAGCAGTGTGCTAGCTGATGGCCCCCTCCATGAGGCCACCAAAACTAAGCAGAACAATTCAATTCAATTTTATTTATATAGCGCCAAATCACGACAAGAGTCGTCTCAAGGCACTTCACATAATAAACAACAGAACACCATTGTAGCTTCTTCTGGGGAGAAAAACACTTAGAGAAAAAATAAAGTTAACAGCTGAAATAGCAGGAAATAATGCAGTTAAAGAGCAGATTGTAGAAGAAAGTAGTGGAGTGTGGAAAGTGGTCAGTGTGTCCTCCAGCAGTGTAAATAAGGCTATTGAAGGAGCATAGGAATTAGCAAAACTTGTGAAGGTTTATTGAATTTTTTTATGTTTAGAATTTTTGACGTCCTGTCCATGCAGAGCATCCGTATTTTAGTTACGTCAAGAGTGTAAGGTGCTACACAAGTGCGTTATTTATTATGTAGGCTCCCTATAGCTGCTATTCTCTTCTGGTGTTCTTGCTTTACTAAAATATATGTCTGTACTTATTTGATTGATGGCAGTTTTTGCTTTTTATTAGACTCCAAATGTAATTTGGCAATTCATAATTTGTAAAAACATAATCAGTGATATTAGCATTAGCATCTCTATGGGTTTTTCCAAGTATATTAGCATTGTGCTAACCACTCACCGCCAGTCAATAGCAGCCTTTGCATTTAGAAAATCTCCTTTTGTCACATCACAATTAATGGTTCAGCCCTATTTCTTATCTGAGGCCATGAGAAAATCATTTGTAACTTTCACTAATGCAGTTTCAGTGCTGTGATGCTCTCTAAAACCAGACTGAAATTCCTCAAACATATTAGTGTTTAGATGCTCACATACTTGGATGGCCACTATGTTCTCAAGGACTTTGGATAAAAATGGAACGTTAGATATTGGTCTATAATTCATTGGGTCATCTGGATCCAGAGAAGGCTTCTTAAGTAAAGGTTTGATTACAGCAACCTTAAAATCCTGTGGTACATATCCATTTACTAAGGATAGATTGATTATATCTAGAATGGGGCAGTAACCAAAGGAATGCTTCTTTAAATAATTTGGTTGGGATTGGATCTAAAATGCAAGTTGAAGGTTTAGATGAAGCTAATATTTTTGATAACTCTGAAAGCTCAACTGGATCAAAACGGTTCAAGCACAGATGAGGTTCTACAGTCACCTCTGATGCTGCCTCACTTACTGAGGAAGAAGAAATCGCATTAGGGAGAACGCTAATGATTTTGTTACTAATAGAATTTATTTTACTCGTGAAAAATCCCATAAAGTTGTTGCTGCTGAGGGCTAAGGGAATAGATAGTTCAGAGCAATGATTCTGTGTAAGATTGGCAACTGTACTGAAAAGAAATTTAGGATTATTCTTATTTTCCTCAATTAGCATTGAAAAAAAAGCAGTTCTAGCTTGTCGAAGCTTATTTTTTATAAAGCACAATACTTATTTTTCCAGGATAAGTAGGACTCCTCCTGGTGTGTAGAGCGCCATGTTTAAATATCGCTAATTACGTTCTTACAAATTAAGAATTGCCAAATTACATTTGGAGTCTAATAAAAAACAAAAACTGCCATTAGTCAAATAAGTAGACATATTTTAGTACAGCCAAAACACCAGAAGAGAATAGCAGCTATAGGGAGCCTAAATGATGCACACTTGTATAGCGCCTTACACTCCTTTGACTGCCCTTGACGTAACTAAACTACGGAAGCTCTGCATGGACAAGACACATTTTTTTCCTGCAAATAGATCTTCACAAGTTTTGCTAATACCTATCCTTCAATAGCCTTATTTTACACTGCTGGAGGATACACTGACAATTTTCCACACTCAACTACTTTCTTCTACAATCTGCTCTTTAGCTGCATTATTTCCTGCTATTTCAGCTGTTAACTTTATTTTTTCTCTAAGTGTTTTTCTTCCCAGAAGAAGCTACAATGATGTTCTGCTGAGCTGTGGTGGCCTCATGGAGGGGGCCATTGGCTAGCACACTGCTGCTAACCACTTAATCATTCTCCCTCTCCTGATAATAACATTTTACTCTCTTTGACATTGAATGTGCTACTACTAGTTTATCCTTGTTGTCCGTATTTTTCTTTAAACATCTTTGGCGTGTTCTTGCTGTGTTGAAATTCTAATTCCATCTCTTAGTTCTTTTTAAAACATAGAAAGGTTTTATTTACCTGCAACGTTTCGTTTGCGGCTGCCGTTTAATTATAGATTCACTAGGATAAATACAATAAAGTTTATCTCTCACCAAATAGAATTTTTACTAAGAAATCACAATATATCCATAGAAACACTACTTGGTGTGTGTGTGTGTCTGCTCAGTCTTCTCCATCCATCCAGTGAGTCATGGTGGATGGCTGCTTATACTAAGCCAGGATCCTCAGGAGGTTTCTCACTCTTAAAAGGGAGTTTTCCTCTCCACTGTCGCTGCATGCTTGCTTAGTATGAGGATTGCTGTAAAGACTCTGGCACTAATCAGTGACTCGATGCAACCTGCTGGATTCCTTATATAGGAAACTTTTTACTGATTAGCTTAATGAACTGACCTGTACTGGAATGTTTACTGTGTGAAGGTCCTTGAGACAACTCTGGTCCTGATTTGGCGCTTTATAAATAAACTTAATTGAATTTATTTAAAAGATGCAACAGCGTTGTCAGAGACCGACTATAGTAAAATTTACTTTCATGTCTTGAAAAATCAGTTATATAAAACTCAAAGGTTATCAAAAAGTAGTCCGAGAGGACTAGATTATAGGAAAAGATCGTTATTTCCTCACACTCTATGCCATAAGTCAGCATATGATGGCAGGAGTGGGTGGAGCTGTGTATTCTTTGGATAAAACCAATTGAGTCTAAGATATTACTAAAGGCTACATTGAGGCTATCACTTTCAATGTCCACATGAATGTTAAAATCCCCCACTACAATGACCTTATCAGTATTTAGCACCAAATCAGATAAAAAATCAGAGATCTGATCCAAAAACTCAGGGTAAGGGCCTGGTGGACGATATAAAACTACAAACGAGTGGTTTTACAGTTTTGCAATCTGGATTAGGAAAACTAAGAATAAGACGTTCAAAAGAACTGTAACTATTAATTGGTAAGAGATTGATTAATAGGTCTGAATGGAAAATGGTTGCTACTCCTCCTCCTTGCCCTGTACTTGGAGCAATATGATGATCTGAATAATTAGAAGGAGTTGACTCGTTTAAACTAACATAGTTCTCTTGCTGCAGCCAGGATTCTGTGAGAGAGAGCAAAGAGATCTGATGATCACAAATCAAGTCATTAAAGTATCTTTCCGGAGTTTTCTACTTTCCAAAATTATGTGTGTGTTTTTTCAGAAATCCGTAAAAGTGACTATTTTATCATGTACTGTGATATATTTTAAGCAATACGTCTTTTATTTTTAGTTTTTTGCCAACCACGCCCCCTGCCCTGCAGAGCTCCGTGCAATAGGAAACTGAGCGCCGACCAGAACTAACCAATTGCGTTAGACTACTGCTTACCTGCTTCAAATGTAAGGAATACCTCGGCTGATGCAGAGCTGATGAACTTTTCACGGACAGGTATGTCTCTAAAATATAAATATATGAGAACACAACATGACATGAGAATAATATTTGTAAACATCGTATTTTAGCTGTTTGTCGGCTATAGAAGCCGCCATCTAAAAAAAAACTGAGTGACAGACTTTTTGTGTGATATGCTTGTCAGCCACTAGATGGTGCCATCGGATACTCCGGAAAGAGTCACTAACTAACAAAGTCTTAGAAAAAATAGACCTAATGTTCAATAACCCACATTAAATTTTTCTAGTTTTCTGCTCAGTTGAATTTGTTCTAATATTTATGAGATTTCCATGATTTGCTTTATTAAGCCTGATATTTAATCTGTGTGATTTTGGCCGTGGGCATGACACTGTCTCTATGGGGTAGTGGGTGGGTCACAGCACTGAAGCTGCGGAGGGGTGTGTTAAACTACGACTCTGCTTCCTGTTCTGGACCCTGGGTTGTCATTGAGGGTGACGGTGGCACAGGAGTATTTATCTTATCCGATGGCACCATCTAGTGGCTGACAAGCATAAAAAGTCTGTTATGTTTGTTTAAGATGATGACTTCACGCTTCTGTTTATAAATGTGCTTCTGTAGCCGACAAACAGCTAAAACATGTTGTTTTACAAGTATTATGCTCATGTCATGTTGTGTTCTCATATATTTATATTTTAGAGACTTGTCCGTGAAAAGTTCATCAACACTGCATCAGCCGAGGTATTCCTTACATTTGAAGCAGGTAACCGGTGGTCTGACGCCATCGTTTAGTTCTGGTCGACACTCAGTTTCCTATTGCACGGAGCTCTGCAGGGCAGGGGGCGTGACTAGCAAAGACATGATAGGATAATCTTACAGATTTCCGACTAATCATACATCATTTCTGAAAGGGGAAAATGCTGGAAAGCAGCTTTAACTGCTCACCTTGTAATCAGAAGGTTGCAGGTTCGAGCACCTGCTCAGGTTTTTCACTGTCGTTGTGTCCTTGGGCAAGACAATTAACCCCCCCGCCTGCTGGGGGTGGTCGGAGGGACTAGTGGTGTCAGTTCGCCCCAGGGCAGCTGTAGCTACATCGTAGCTTACCACCAGCATGTGAATGACTGCCTTGGGGGGGCCCTAGGACTCTAGAAGGCGTTATATCAGATACATTTACCATGGTGGACTAATAAAATCAGCCATGGTCCTAGAAAGAAGAGGGATGGATGCAGTCTCTTCACATCAGATAGGGTTTTCCCCAAAGGGTTTCCAATTATTAATGTAGCCCACGTTGTTTTCAGGACAGCTAGTAAAGAGCTAGCATGTATTCTTATAGCTCCATCTTAAGATTCTACAAACCCCCCAAGGTGCTTCACAACACAATAATTCACCCATTCACATGCTGGTGGGGATGAGCTACCATGTAGCCACAGCTGCCCTGGGGCGCACTGACAGAGGTGCCACCAGCAGGTGAGGTGGGTTAAGTGTCTTGCCCAAGGACACAACAGCAGCATTCTGTGGTTAGAGAATCGAACCTGCAACTGGACAACTCACTGTACCTCAGCAGTCAAACACATACAGTTTAAAACCTTTGTGGTGTCTTAGATGTGGCCTGGGTTATTCTGGGTATGCTGTTGATGTTATCCTCGGCAGGTCCTACAGCGATGGCTACAGATGCCACGGAGAACATGAACGTTACCGTGACCTGGAAATGATTCAGCTGAATAACACAGGTGTTCTGTGGTATATAGCCAGAAACGTTTCATCACTTACCCCTCCATCATATCGTAACTCGACCCTTGATCTTCTATGACATCACATCAGGAGACACAAAATCAGAAACCTAGATTCAGACTCAAATATAGATCAGAAACATAATCATCTACTAGTTCTTTAGATACCCCAAACAGTTCTTTTAACATGAACTGTGGAGAAACTGAAGTTAAAGGTTCGTTCCTGAAAAGCCCTTTGGGCTACGGCCCCTACCTTGGTGGGCGGGGCAACACTGGCATGACCTGACCTCCACTGGTGTCTGTCTTTCAGACATGTTTTATCAGGATCCCCTGGTTGACCTGAGACAGTCGTTCAACCGTGCCCACACTGGTGGTGACACACAGCTGCAGGCTAGGGCTTGAACCTGCAACCCTCCGAGTACAGGGCAGCCACCTAACTCTTCTGCCAGCATCACTTCGTTGTCAGTTAACAATACTTTTGGGTAGACATGTTATTGTAATCAGTTATGTACACAACAATAAGATATTCAATAATTATACTTATTAGAGCACTTGAGCCATTGCTCCACATTCTTCTCAAGATGCCCATGCAGCAATGGACTGTCGGTAATACCCTTCACTGACATGCAGATCAAGGGTGCAAGAGGGGCGGAGCCAAGGTCCACACTAATCAGGACATCTTGTGCACTCACCCCCGGGAAAGGGAACGCAATGTGGAAGTGTGAGTTTTGACAAGACCGAGATCACTCGATCATTCAGCTTTTCATCCTGATCCCTGTGAGACATCTTAGTGTTGATTTCTGCAGCTTTTATTGTGAAATATCACGTTCCTTCCTCCGTCTGAACCCTGCATTCAGGTGAATCATCACAGCAGAGATCCAGCAACCTACAACTCATCGCTGTCCTTTAGTGTTGGGGTGCTGACAACGTGCACACAGAACTAATGTGTAATGTGGGCTAACGTAGGAATAAAAGAAAAGACCTGCTGTTGTGTGTGTGTCTGTTCTAGCTAAGCCTCGCAGCACACCGCCTCGCCATGACGGCGTGGATTTATTACAACTATGTGGTTCTGAGTTATGATGACCTGACCCACCAATCAGAGCACCCTAATTTACTTGTATTTACAAATAACCTGGTAATTAATAAAGTTAAACTATTTTTAAATGTGACAATTTTCACATAAATATTCACAAAACAAGAGTTTCCACTTTCTACCCCACCCAGTCCAGAACTCCTGATCCAGTCCAGAAATCCTGACTCAGACCAGAACTTCTGGTCCGGTCCGCAACTCCTGATCCAGACCAGAACTCTGGGTCCAGTCCAGAAATCCTAACCCACTTCACAACTCCCGATCCAGACCAGAACTTCTGATCCAGTCCAGAACTCCTAGTCCAGTCCAGAACTCCTGACCCAGACCAGAAATTCTAACCTGATCCAGTCCAGAACTCCTGATCCAGTCTACAACTCGTGACCTAGACCAGAACTCCTGATCCAGTCTACAACTCGTGACCTAGACCAGAACTCCTGATCCAGTCCAGAAATCCTAACCCAATCTAGACCAGAACTCCTGATCCAGACCAAAATTCCTGATCCAGTCCTGATACAAGGTTGGAGTTTGTTCACTGGAAAGATGACACCATGACCCTAACCATTCACCCCAATGAGATCACAGAAAGTTCTACAGAGTTCTGCTGTTTTGGGTTTTCAGTTCTGACCCGAAGGTTCCTGAATCCAGCTCTTCTTCAGTTTTCCTGCAGATACTGAGTAGAAAAAGCCTCCAGCTGGACCTCCAGCTCCGTCGCTCGGTTCCTGCAAACACAACAGATTACAGTCAGAACAAATGAGTCCAGCCATCATTCACACCAAGAAGGATGTGTGTTACTGCAGAACCAATCAGGCTTCCCCGAGTCGGGCCGGTCTTCAGATGATGGCATGCTGCCGGCTTCTAAAGTAAACGAACTCAAGAGAAACGGACCTCTGGGTTTGTATGGTGACTAGATGACAGTTGAAGTCAACAGCTTCTGATCAGCACGAGATAAAAAACCAAATTCTCGAACAAACAAATACCCATAAAACGACCCGAGCACGTTGAGCAAGTGGAGGAGGGAATGATAAACTCCTGATCACTAACTCTCCAGAATGTTCTCAAGGAAATTAAGTCACTTAAGGGTGCAGTATGTAAGAATGACATCCTGTGGTCAAATTTGAGTACTGCAGTCCATTTTTCTAACAAAAGCTTACTCTCACTGCCGTTCCGTGAGTTTCATGGCTGTTTCCAGTAATGGATCAGCGCCAGAAGATTCTAGATGACAAGTCATAAGTAGATAAATACACTGTTAAATCTGGTGTTAGCGCTTGTGGGTGTTTTACTGTAGGGAGCACTTACTACACTTCATACGGTAATATTTCTCCAGCATGACTAGGGTTGTGCATTGTTTGATTTTGAACGATTCCGACTACAATTCCTTTTTTCGATTCCGGTTCCTATCGATTCCCGATTCCGATTCTTTCAAGACATGACATGTTTGACATGAGCCAGCTAACCACTTGATGAAATAATTTTTACTTCAATGTGAATTTTAATTCTATGAACAATAACATCACCTTCATTTAGACAACAACATGTTTTGGAGAAACAAAGACAGAGACTTGCAGCACAACCAGTGTGTTTGTTTCTGACCACAACCAACGTCTGGAAGAAGCCTCTGGGATGAGAGGCTAAATGTCTCCAACACATCAGAAACGTCCAGCTGTTTTCAGCTAAAACTCTCAGGACGATCATGTCCAGGATGACTGAGAACTACACCTCCATGCTGCAGCAGCATTCAGTCAGAACAGAAAGTGAAACTTAAATGTAGCTGCTGTCAGTAACAATCTAACAGATTTTAAACATTAAAACTCTCAACAGAAATAGTTCAGCAAGGACATTAAAATGTTCACAACTTTGTGTGTGATTTATTACTATTATTATTATTATAAGTATTTATGGTGGCAGAAGCTGGTGTGGTCCACCACAGAGAAGCTGCTCTAGCATGATGACTTTAATTATTCTACAGGTTATTGTTCAGCCATCTGACGCTCTCACACACACACACACACACACACACACACACACACACACACACACACACACACACACACACACACACACGAGTGTTGGTGAACTTGCACCGGATGAGAGCTGATGGATATACCTCCGTTTTGAGCCATAATCTGTGAAGATACTCTAAAAGTTGTGGTTGTCGTGTTAATTTGTTGAAGAATGTTTGGGTTTATAGTTTCTGTCTCACACTGTAACAGTCATGTGTTCAGTGGTGTAATGTCACGAAATGGCCTGATTTTGAGATCCCACAGGTCAGATCCACAGCCAGGTCAACTTACCCCTGGCTATGACACAACCTACAATAGTTTCCCCTCACAGGAGACTGGAAGTCTGCACGTAGTCCCTTTAATTAGAGCCTGCCTTCCTCGTACCAGCTAGACTGCAGCTCTGAGAGATAAAAGATAAACAATAACATTCTCTCCTCCAAGGTCCATCACAGAGAAACTCTTTTAAATAACTCCTCTATTCACAGAAGAAAGAAGATTTTATAATTAAAGATAATCATTAAATAAACATTTGTTTATTGCTACTTATAATAATTGTAAAACAATGAAATGTTCATTGATCTGTGCTTAATGATATATGCTTAGCATGTTTACTGGATGAGGTCATCACCATTTGCACTCACACAAGGACAGAGTAAAGTTAAGTTAAAATGCATGACACATAGTTAACCTTTTGCCCAGATTCAGAGTCTCCAGATCAAAGAGGATGTGTCTCTGAGATGCTTGGTAATATCCTCAAACCTGTCAACTTTTGGTTAGCTAACCAATTCATAACATCAGTCCATTAAAACTAGTTCACTCTGGTTTTTCCCTCAGTTCGAACAGTTCAACAGTTCGAGGGTTCTAGAGCGAGCTTCAGACCAGCCATCTGTTGCATAACCTCTTTAACCAGCAAAGATTTTGAAGCTGATACAACAAGATAGTTCCTGCAGAACAAAGCTGACGCAAACTCCTTCAGAGTTATTTTTAAGAAGCTCGGTTTCATCTATCGTTGTGACCCGGAGACATCTCAGGACTGATTTGGTCGCATCGAGGTTTCTCTACGAACCAGGTGCAGTGGGGTCGTCAGCTCCTTGACATCTCGGATCCAAACGGGGGTCTCCAGAACGGGTGAGGTAGAATACAACGAGATAGCGTCTGTATGTGGTTTTGATAATAACAAATTTATAGCTTAACGCAAACCAAATTCTTTTATATCCAGAACTCAGCTCTCTGAGAAACGGAAATTCTGACTCTATTACATTATATTCACACATAAGTTCCAGACACCATCCTTTAGTTCACATCCACTCACAGTAAATAATAGTTTAAACAATTTGTCAAGTCTTAATTGTTTGTAAAATAAATTCTTATTTTTATAAACCTGACTGTTTCTTCAATCAAAACGAAGTGTGTACAATTCCTTATTGAGTAAAAGAATCCTAGAATCTTCTGACTAAAACAAAGACCAGGCAAGGTGATATCCTATATTTAAATTGAGTATCACAGCTTAGTGGTCACAAGTGGTGTTAATAATATAAATAGCTACACAATAAAAACTGCTTATTTTCATCTTCGCAATATCAATCGGCTCCGCCCCTCCCTCAGTCAGCACTCCACTGCTATTTTGGTCCACAGCCTGGTCACCAGTCGCACTGGTGACCATTACTTACTGTAATGCCCTCCTCTCTGGTCTCCCTTTAAAATCACTCAACAAGTTACAGTTAGTCCAAAATTCAGCTGCCCAGATAATCACCAAGACCTCCACTTTTGATCACATTACCCCTGTCCTGCAAAAACTTCACTGGCTCCCTGTCAAATACAGAATTGACTATAAGATACTTCTTCATGCCTTTAAAGCCATCCATAATCTCGCTCCCCCTTGTCTTTCTAATCTCCTCCACATTGTCACTCCCACTCGCTCTCTCCGATCATCATCTTCACCTTCCCTGTCTGTTCCTCGCACTCGTCTCTGTACTATGGGAGCCAGAGCTTTCAGCCACTCAGCTCCAAAACTCTGGAACACTCTACCGCCTGACCTCCGCAATATAAACTCTTTCTCCACCTTCAAGTCTCAACTCAATACTCACATGTTCCGCCTGGCTTACTCACTGTAACTGTCCTCCTTCCATCTACTCTTTTTTTAGTCTATTATCCATCGCACTGCTCCGACTCTACCTTTGGGAATTACTCTTAGCATTTATTTCTTGTTGTTTGTATTACTTGCTTGTTATATTTTGTCCTGTACAGTGACCTTGAGAGCTTTGAAAGGCGCTTGAAATAAAATTTATTATTATTATTATTATTAGCTCTTGAAGCTATTTACATAACCCAACATACTATTTATTAACATTACAGTGGCCTAGTGGTAGACTGGGAGGTCAGGGTTCAATTCCTGGTTGGGTCGTACCAAAGACCTTGAAAGAATGGGACCCAACGCCTCCCTGCTTGACACTCAGCATTAAGGGTTGGATTGGGGGTGGGGGGTGGGGGGGTGGGGTGTTAAACCACCAAATGGTTCCCGAGCGCAGCCATGTCAGCAGCTCACCGCTCCCCCAGGGTATGGGTCAGATGCGGAGAACAAATGTCACACACACATCAGTGTGTGTGACAACTGATGGGACTTTAACTTTTAACCCTTTTTTCCTACAAAGACGAAAATTTTTAAACAGTAATCTGCCATGACCACATATTTTATAATACATTAATGATTTTCTTTATTTGTCGGTTTTGCTGTAGGTATTATGGTTTTTGTGCTACGGGCCTCAGAAGAGGACAGTGCCAGATCTCCTCCCATAGACACCCATCTTTCTGCTTTGACTGCCTGAAATCTTCTTGCCATATCTTCTACAAAATTCACACATGACCACCAAAGCCTTCTGACACACTATATGTTAAA